ACGGTCATCCCTCTTCGAAATGCATTTTTTCTGCCTTGGGACCTCAGGAGGAGAGACCTCAAAAGAAAATCAGTCAACCGGTACCGGCAAATACTGTGATGTGTCGTTGAAATTGATTGCTGCAATCTGGTGGCAATGGATCTGTAGGTACGTGGGATGCACTAAAAGTTTTCGGTATGAATAAGAAAAAATACTATATACTATATAAAGCGTGTCTTTACCACCGCGACAATAAATGAATACACGTCTAACGCTACTTGCCAATAATCATAAAAAATATTAACGTTAAAAAAATCCATAATTAAAAAAATATATTTTTCAAACAAACTAATTACTTAAGTAAAAAAAAATTGGAAGATACTATACAACTACAACTGACTGATTCATACATTCAGAGACTTTTTCATTCGTTGCCACAGCGCCGCATTACAGGCCTCTCCTTCTAACAGTATGTTTTGTCTCTTTAAAATTCATTCAACCCATTCATATGCTTTGTGACCTTAACAAATGCACTTTACATTAAAGATCTATACGTAAGAGTGTTCTAAAATTGTTTGTTTTGGAAAATCTGATAACTCGGTAAATGTTGATGTTTAAAGAATGTAAATCTTTAATACAATTTAAAAAAGTTATCCTCTATATGTGGGTTCATTTATTGTCGCCAGACACGCTGTATAATAATAGGTCAAAATAAGCCTATATAATAATAGGTCAAAAATTAATTTATTAAGAATCTTTTTTTTTACGTGTGAAAAATCCTTTATTGATCCCCCGCCGCCTTGTGGGTAGGCAGCAGGGGTATGTGGGAGTTACACGGTACCCACTAAATAACCCACGTTGCACCAGCGCTGTCGCTTTTCCGGGGACACGGGAACTCGAAAACGCAATCTTCCGCGAACCCCGGCGCGACTGTGGCCTTCTCCGGCCTCCTCTCCCCGGGTGTTAGAGACACCCGGTCCAGCCAAATGGTGCCGTTTAGGTGCAATGAACACGGCATCCCTCTTAAGCCCTCTGCGGGGCAGCAGTTACTCCCACATCTGCTGCCCTGGGGCATGCTATCAGGGGAGAAGGTTGCGCGCGTAGGCCAGCCTCCTGCACCCTGGTCTCCAGCGGCGGATTTTCAGGGTGGCAGTCCCTTTCCCTCCGCGGCCTACTTCCGGGTAATTATGTCCTCACAAAGAGCAAGGACAGCACCCCACGACCTCTCGCTGTCCACCATAGCGCGAACCACGGCAGGCAACGAGAGATTGTGCCCCACGATAGCTCTCAGCTCTCGTTGCTGCTCCCGCCAGGCTGGGCACTGCTACAGTGCGTGTTGGGCCGTCTCCTCGGCATATACGTCGCAGTGGTGGCAAACCGCTGTTGGCTCCCTTCCCGCCAAGCGGCACAGGTAACCAAATCAAAATCAAATGTATTTATTCAACATAGGAGCATTACACTCACTTATTGATTGTCAAAACACTACCACCGGTTCGGAAAAGAAAGCCACTGTACTGAGAAGAACCGGCGAAAGAAACTCAGCGGGCTTTTTTTTTTTTTTAAATAAGCAGTTTGACATAAATTCGTTAAAATACAATATAAGAACTCCGATTGAAAGAGCCTGGAGCGATCAGTTCATTACCAGAGTGTGTTATCGTTTAAATAATCATTAATATTATAGTAGCCTTTAACACACAAACGTTCTTTTACTATTTTTTTTAAATTTAGCTATTGATGCATTTTGAACGTTTTCTGGAATTTTGTTGTAATAACGTATACATTGTCCCATAAGATTTATTTATTTTACGGAATCTACTTGTGGGTAGCATCAATTTATTTTTGTTCCTAGTATTTATATCATGAACATTATTATGTCTTAAAAATTTATCCTTATTTTTATGGACATACAAAACATTTTCAAAAATGTATTGAGCAACAACAGTCAATACCTTTATCTCTTTAAACAAGTTTCTTAACGATTCTTTGGGGCCCAGATTGTAAACTGCACGAATAGCTCTCTTTTGTAAGATAAAGATTGTATTAATGTCGGCCGCGTTACCCCAAAGCAGAATGCCATAAGACATTATACTGTGAAAATAACTAAAATATACCAAGCGAGCCGTATCAACATCAGTTAACTGTCTAACTGTTAACCCCCGAAACAGCCATGTCCCGAGAGAAGCTGCGTCGCCCGGTAGGTGAGGGTGCCGTGACTCCTGTCCAGCCACCGACTGAGTACCGGACGTATGGCCTCTATGGTTCTTAGGGCGGCCCTGGGGTGCTCCAGCCTCTGCTCCCACTCGACGACAGCGAGTGAGCGTAACCTTAGTCGTAGGCCGGCAAGTGGCCCCGGGCTATCGCCTCCTCGCACCATAAGTGCAGTGACGCGAGGATACTCGCTTCTAGGTCCCAGGGAAGGGAACCTACCAGCGCGAACGCCACCTCACCGGATATCGTAGGGTAGCCCCGTATGGCCCGTATAGCCAAACCCTCTGCGGTCTGCGCAGAAGCACCATGGTCCGGCGATTCAGGGGTCGGCCCAGACGGGAGCACTGTACAGGGCCATGGCCTCACGGCACCGGTGTATAGGCGACGGCAGGAGTCGTTGGGGCCACCAACGTTCGGGAGCAGTCTTCCGAGTGCGGCCGCTGCTCTCGCCACTTTTGGAGCTATTAAGAATCTTCCGTAATTACCCTATCGTATCGGTAATCACTTATCGTTTGCCCCTATTCTCCATTAAAAAAGATTTGATGGTGTTAAATCGGGAATTTTTATTTCAACTAAGGTGCCTATTATTGACACGACAAAAATAACTTTTACTAATAAAATTGTGAATTTATCTAATTTACAAATCTTTTAAATTTCTCCTCAGACGGAGCTCGAACCCCTAACAAATCAGTATTACCGAGAAGCAGAAACAAATAGATGAAATAAATGACTATCGACTTATGTTCCATTTTTCAATTAACGTTTTTATTAAAAAGGTAATAGAACTGGCCCGTCTTTAATGAAAAAATAAGGTTTTTATAATGTCTTCCGCTATTTAAAGATACGGAGAAAATTACAAATATTTATCGCAATAAACACTTATTCTTCTAGACGAACACTAATAGATTGTCAACATTTACAAAAACTGTGTAAAACTTCTAACAAGAGCACCAATACATTAAGAACAATAATAATAATGTATAATACTACTAGAAATATATCCAGGTGTGTGCTCTGTGTAGACAAATGACACCCTGCGTGCTATCGTGGGAATTGTTCCAAAGTTCCGCGAATTAAACCACTGGTTCCCAGCGGTCTTCCCCACACGCGCTCATCTTCCATCCCAACTCCGACATAGAAGTTTTAATCCCTCTTCCCACGTCGGTCCCTAAGGTGAACTCGAGCAAAAAAAAAATTACTTAATACTTGTATGTTCTATCGATAATATCGTATTAATAGTAGGTAATTCCTTAGACTTTATTTTTATTTTCTGAGTTACACACGTTAAATTTTAATTAGCTTTTACTTTGCATGTGATCTCATATTTATTGAATCTTTTGGCGGACGATAATCATCAAAGCAAGCTGTATACACTAAAATAACACATATAAAAAATGTGTAATTAAGCCATAATATTACGAAAAGTATCAAGTCAGAAAAATTCCTGCCCTCTGAGAGCTTAATTGGTTGCTAATTGGCATGCGCTGCCTACATCGTTGGAGTTACACGAAGATCGTAGGATTGTTTGCCTTAAAAAGTTTATTAAAAAGAAAGTTCGCGACAACATATAATTATATACCTACCTATTATGTGGCAGTTAATATATCCCAAATTATAAAATAGAATTAGGTGTTTTTTTTTTTAATTTGCTGTTGCTGTCAATTTTATTCAACATCAATTCTGAGTTTTTAATTCTTTGCGAATTCATGCACAGCTTATTATAAACAACATCAATTATATTTCCAAGACTTGGTTACAACATGATATCGCATTGGACGAGGCAAAGTCAAAATCAAAATTTCTTTATCCAACATAGGCTTTAGGCTATTATTGAACGTCAAAAACTACCATACCACCGGTTCACTAAAGTAGACCTGCCATATAACTAGGTCATATATTTTTTTAATTTTTTTTTATAAATTATTTAAGTATAAACACATAAAAGTATAAAATTGGCAGGAGCAGGATGTATTCTAATATTTTTTTTAATATTGTTTTGATTTTATTCTTAACATATTAATTTCAAAAGAATTATATTATATTTGATGTTAGAAATTTAAATTGTTTTTTCTACATATTTTAATTTTAATATTTGATGTTCTTAGCCATTTTGAATGAAATAGTTTATTTTATCAGATAATCATTTTGCCTTTACCTATAATATAAAAAAAATCGTTATTTTAAATGTAGAAATTGTTTGAATTTAATAAATTTTAGTGAGTTTTCGAATTGCTTTATGAGTATTATTTTTGAACAGTTGGTAACACTGCTTACAGGAAAAATACTTTCAAGTTTCAAGTTTCAATTCAAGTCTTGCAAGTATATCGGGTCGGTACCTGGTTGGTACACTTGCAAGGAAATACCTGGCTGGTATCAATACCTGATAACGTAAATACGCACCATCTTTAATATAAAAGTATTAAGCTAGTAAGTACTCTTTGGCTGAATGAAGGCAACACCGTTTGACCAGCTGTCCAAGTCTATTGAAGTTGAAAAATGAAAACATTCGGTCTAGTGCCTAAGTACCTATAAGCAAAATAAAGATTTATCAAAGGATAAAATGCTATATCAAATTAAAATATTTTTGTTTTCTAAATATCAATAATCGAGATAGGTTAAACTAAGACTAGTAGTTTTTAAGAGTGAAAAGTGAGTACTGTAATTAAAACCACGCCATGTCGACGAGGCGAGCTAGAATAAAAGCTGTGACATCGTTACCGCCAAGGAGAAAAAACGCTGAAAATGGAGACATTAAAAACAAACAAGCGCAACAACTTAAAGATCATGAGGAAAACAATATTACCCCTACAAGCATGGAAAAAAATCAACAATGCAAGGAAAGCGTTTCATTGCCCAAGACCTCAGACGATTTGAATGAAGAACCTAAAAATGTAATAATAAAAACTCCTGGCCTAAATGATAAAGAAAAAGCTGTCCCAAGCCCAAAAGTAGATTCACCAATCAAAAGTATCGAAAAGAATAAGAAAACTCCCAAGCACTTGAAAGTGTCAGTTAAAAGCCCATCTGTTATCAAAACTAATATAAGTATTTTTTCGTCACCTCAATTACGACGAAATAGTCCCACTAGAAAAGACTTTGCATCTCCACTAGCTCCTTCACCAAAACATTCCATTAAAAGCTTAGATGATAGACAAATCAAACCAATTTCACCGCAACGAGAAAAGCTGACACCAAATACTCAAATAATTAATGAAAACAATGAATTGCAAATAACAGACAGAAATATAAAAAAAGTTACACATAATACTGCTAGCCCTCTTACTAGGAATGAAGGTAAGTTGATTGTGAACAAATAAAAAAGTCAAGTTCAAATGTCATACAACAATATTATTAAATATATGGAAAAATATAATAACAAAAGGGAATGATATTCTAATGTTAATTTTTCTACGCTTAGTTTATTTTTGATTTATATTTTCATAGCATTAAACAACCTAATGTTAATAATGATTATATCGGATACATTTAGGGGTTTCATTTTAAATGTGTAATTATATAAAAATTTTCCAGATTATAATGTGCCTAGTGTACCTGAAAGCATCACTGATGACACTGTAATGGATGGCATTATCCCATTACAATCAGAAGGCAGTGCTCCTAAGCCTATTGATCTCCTAAAAAATGAAATAATATCAGAAAATGTTGAGGTTCTCTTTGACCCAATTGTGCCTTTACCATCCCCAAGTAAAGTGAGACCTAAATTACGTCCTGTACCAAGACTAGGTCCACTAAGAAGAAGCAGTGTACAGGTAAAGTTTTGATGCAGATTGTGTAAATAGTAAACATTCTCATTTACATTTTAAATTGTAAATGTAATAATCAGGATGTGCCATCAGAATTTATTTATATGTCTTGTATTGCTGGTCTTCAAATGCACAACATATTGTAGATTAATTCATTGATTTAGGAAAAATGTTTAAGTAATTATATATAAATGTGACATTTTCTATGCTATTTTTCTATAATTAAACAGTTATTAACTAGATTATTAGTTAGAAAAATTATATTTAATCATACAGGGCAGTGCCAGTGAGTCAGAGGATGAAACACGTCGGGCACAAATGTCTGGTGGGGCAGCCACTCCGTCATTGGCCAGACAACGCCATGATTCACATTCATCACATACAACATTACATTCATTGCCTAATAGGTTTGTAACATTCCTATTGAAAAATGCAAAATGTCTTTAACCTCTAACTTAAAGTCATGATGCTTCCCATGCCACTGGATAAATAACAGGTTATGAGATTTTGTCATAGAAGAATCAAATTTGTAAAAAACTCATTAGTTTCCTTTCAACATTTGATCCCAATATGGTCATAGAGAATAGACTTACTTAGTCTATGCAATTGTGAAGTTAATACTGACAAAGTAATTATGTGGTCCTAGTTGGTGTAGTAAAATAATTTTGGTATTGCTCTCGCAGTCCCTTTGTCTGACATGAGAGTTTTTAATTTTGTCAGAACATTGCTCAGTCCAATCTTTGTATTCTTTGGTCTCAATCTCACTGCCGATTTGTAAATTACACTTGCAATTATTTTCTTGTAACTTTTCTATCTTATCAAAAAAAAAATTGAATACAAGACAGACCTTATATACAAAATAAATAAAATAAATAAATCCTTTATTTCACGAAATCCCAGTGCTCACCTGTGTTGGATGGCAAATTACTGTGTCTTAAACTTTTGTCTTATTCTATCTTTTCTCTAATTCTCCTTATTATTTAACTAAACAATGTTCGCAAGTATTATGAGAACAGTTATAAAGATTTCACTTTCATAAAATAAAAATCAAAATATAGATACAAAAATTTTAAAGGATTAAAGTAGTTTAAAGCTTAAACAGTCATGGAAGTGTTTATTATTATGGGGGGGATATTCATTTGTTTTCTCGTCTGGTTGGGTTTATAAATAAAAATAAAAATATAGATACATATTGCATATATAAAATAAATATTATGGATAAAAATAAACATATAAATGTTGTATATAATACATATATAAATAGGACCCAACCAGACGGAAACCCTCGGCAGGGGAGACCAAACGGCCGAGGGTTAGGGCGATAGGGAGAGAAACCGGCGGACGATGCGGGCGGTATCGAGGAGCACCGCCTTCTGCATTTGAGCTTGGAGCGATCCGTCCCGGAGTCCCAGTCGCCTCAGATGTTTGGAGAGGCTGACTGGGATTAACCCATTCGCAGACACGAGTATCGGGATAATTTCGGTCGGTACACCACCCCACATGTCGGTCACCTCGTGAGCCAGGTCCAGATACTTTGTCTTCTTATCTGTTTCGGCTTTCACGAGGTTCTCGTCATATGGAATGGTAATGTCGACCAAAAATACCCGCGACTGTGCCCGGTCCATCACCACGATGTCAGGTTTGTTCGCGACAATCGTCCTGTCCGTGATGATGGGCCGGTCCCAATAGAGCCTGGCGCGGTCATTTTCGAGCACGGCCTCCGGAGAGTACTTATAGTACGGCAGTTTCCGATCCACGAGGCCGTATTTCAGAGCGAGCTCCTGGTGTAGGATTCTGGCTACTAGGTTGTGTCTATGCAGATACTCAGAGTTAGAAAGCATGGAACAACCGGAAATAACATGCCGAAGCGACTCCCCGGGATGGCGACAAGCTCGACAGATGTCGACGGTGCCATCCCTTAGGATGTATTTCCGATAGTAGTTCGTCTTAATAACCTGATCCTGTATCGCACAGACAAAACCTTCGGTTTCCCCAGAGGTCACCGTTATTATTATTATTATTATAAATATATAATGTTAATTTTAATTATTAAACTTTTACAGGGAAGTAAGCAGAGTCAGAAATGATTCTATTTGCTCCAATGTTAGCCAAACTACTGCCCAACCTGCTTCTACTGCATCACCTTTGAAAGAAAAACATTACAACAGGTTAATACTGTACAGAATAATATTTTATATAAATATTTGTATAATTTAATTATTAAATGTGTAATTTCTTCTTTTCATGAATGTAACATCTTAGATTGAGACGCCAGGACGCCGCTAGTAGACGAATGGCAGCATTGCGTCGTAAACGCGAAAACATCACAAGAGAAAAACTGACTATGTATGACCTCATCTTCTATAATCCCATCTCTAATCCAATCATGTAAGTAAAACATTTATGCACGATGTTTATGATAATATTAATTTGTGTTTAGAAACCGATTTTTATGAAAAGAAAATTTTTTGTGATATGACAATAACATTTCAAAAGGCACTCCACACATTGAACCCTATGTCAACAATTAAGAGATTAGGGTGTTAGAAAACATGTATACAGTTTGTTTTATTTATTGGAATTATTATTCCATTTAAAAATACTAATAGGCTTTAGAAAAAAATAGGTCTTAAATAAGTTTAAACAATGCCAATAATTTTAGTATGTAAAATAAAGTAAAGTAACAGCCTATATATGTCCCGCTGGGCAAAAGCCTCCTCTATACAGAGGGCGTCAGGGCATAGTCCACCACGCGGCCCCACTGCGGATTGGCGGACTTCACATATCTTCGAAAAATATTTTTTTTGTTATTATTTCGAAAATATGCAGGTTTCCTCGCGATGTTTTCCTTCACCGCGGAGCACGTGATAAGTCAGCACTTAAAGTTAAATACTTCATTGGTGCCGGCATCCGGGCTCGAACTCAGGTTTCTCGAGTATATTGAAATACCTTTACGAGCGCCCGGACACTGAGCTATCCCGGCTATATTCAAAATGTAGTATTAAGTTGTCACGAAAATAAAATTTGAACAATTTCAGTCCAGATCAAGACGAAATTAAAGCAAAAGAAGAGAATGCCAAAGAGGAAGCAGACAGAGCTAGTAAGTACAAATCCAAAAATGAGGAAGAGGCAGACGAAGAAGATGTCGATGATCCTCCTGAAGGTGACGCCGCACCAGTACCCCAGATCAAACTTGGCGTAAATGGAGAGATTATTCTTGACGAGACAAGTTTGGTAAGAGTCTATTACTCATAAACATACCGTTAACTTGCTTTTGACTCAAATATATTGAATATGCATGGAAATTATTTAATACATAATAAGTGTCCTTAATAAATCATAATAATCAATGTCGTAGGTCATCCAAAATTATAAAAACATTTTTGTGTATTAAAATACGTTGCATATAGACAATGAACTGCTATGACTCATCCACTCTTAGCATCATTCATTTTTGGTCCTTAACATCCAAACTTCAAAACCATAGCTTCCTTATGTTTACATCCACAAAACTAAGCTAGCCAATATTGACTTAATATTTCTTAGCAACATGTCTATGGAACAGAAGAGTGTGGCCAGGTTCAGCTAGTTAAGTACAAAATGACATACTTCTGAGGATATGATGTGATGTTAAAGAGTATGCGATGATGTTCCTATATTAACAAAACGAGGCGTTTTCGTTACGAGCCGTTCCATTACCTACGGAAAGTGAGTTACTAGATTTGCTTTAAACTACAAGTTACGAAGCTATGTAACTAACCGCCGTTCGTTGAATATAGGAACCGGGCATAAGTTGCTGTCACGTTAAGGGCGCCGTGTCGGAATTGGGTCTGTTTCAGGTGATAAAGCAAACCGACAAAGGCCGGAAGGTTTCGTCGATGGTGCGCGAGGGGGCGTGGGCCGCGGGGGGAGGGAAGTATAAGCGCCGGCCGAGGACCGCCGACTGGGCCGACGCGGAGACTGTCCGCTTCTACAGGGCGCTCGCCGCCATCGGCACGGACTTCACGTTGATGGCCCAACTCTTCCCCGACCGCACCCGCAAGGATCTAAAACTCAAGGTGAAGCCATCCTATTAATCAGTAAATCCTTTTCACTGCTCCCTCTTGAAAATATATCATCGGAAAACATATGGCCGGATAAAGTTTTTTGACGACCCGGCTGGCGTGGGGGAGTAGGGAACCTCTTGCGCCAGAGAGTGTGGGTTCGATCCCCGCTACTGGATAAATATTGTGTGATGAATAGTTTCTATACATAGTGTTTTTTTAGTCATCATCATCATCATCATTTCAGCCTGTTTGAGTCCACTGCTGAACATAGGCCTCCCCCATAGACTGCCACGAAGTACGATCCTGAGCCACCTGCATCCATCGACTTCCCGCACATTTGCACAGGTCGTCACTCCATCTAGTGGGGGGTCGTCCTACACTGCGATGGCCAGTACGAGGCTGCCACTCGAGAACCTTTCTTCCCCAACGGTTATCGGTTCTACGAGCTATATGGCCGGCCCATCGCCACTTCAGCTTGCTAATCCTCTGAGCTATGTCGGTTACCTTGGTTCTACTGCGGATGTCTTCGTTACAAACTCTATCACGCAGAGAAATACCGAGCATAGCCCGCTCCATAGCTCGCTGAGCGACTTTGAGCTTCCTCATACGGCCAGCAGTGAAGGGACCACGTCTCGGTTCCGTAGGTCATCACTGGCAACACACATTGATTGAAGACTTTAGTCTTCATTTGTATGTATCTAACACATTATATATAATATGTTAAATACATACAAATGAACCAAAATATGTATATTTACAAAATAAAAATATGTTTATCAGTTTTCTAGTACCCACAGTAGAAGCGTTGTTTAGTTTGGAACTGGAGAACGTTGTGTAAAAATGTGTTCGCAAAATATTTATTTTAAGCGTTGACATGCCCTGCAGATAGATCGGGCTCAAAAGTGTGATATTATTGAAAGAAAAGAAGAAAGAAAATCTTTTTATTTGATATCACTTAACAAAAAAACATACATATACATATTCAAAACATAAACAGAAAAATAACTATTGTGACATCAAATAGGAACTCCATTTCAGCAAAATGCTGCACTTCTCTTTGTACTACAGCGCTGATTTTCAAATGGAGAGCCTATTGGGTCTTTTTACCGTTACCTTCCGCGGTGCACTTTGGTCGGTCCGAACGCAACCCCCGTTCGCAGTTCAAGAAGGAGGAGCGCGTGAACTGCGCCCAAGTGGACAAGGCGCTGCGCTCCGCCACCGAGTGGGACGCGGCGCGGCTGCAGCACGAGTTCAGCGACGAGCGCGCCGAGGCGAAGAGGCGCGCGCAGCTCGAGCGCGAGCTACTCGCCGAGCGGAAGCGCGCCGAGCGCGAGCGGATGCAGGCCGCGCGCGAGATGCGCGTCCGCAACAGTACGACCGCCACTATATATAGCTCTTATCTGTTATTTATGTGGCGAAGTGGCAAAGGAGCACGTGCGAGCTGATGTTAAGCGATAACCGCCGCCCATGGACATTCGCAACACGACACCCGGCTACCTCAACGCAGAAGTGTAATACTACTTCACGCCGGTCTTTTGTGAGGTGGTACCATAAGCCGGACGGACAATTTGTGGCAACAGCAAACACTGTTGCGTGGCCCTACCAGAGTTAGAATACCTAACTATTCTCTTCCCCTTTCTGTTCCTCACTCCCTCTCCCTCACTCTCTTCCTCTCTCGCTTCACTTTTCTTTCTTCTCTCATTGTTCTATCCAACTATCTTAAATATATTTTCGTACTCAGTTCACAAGCTATGCAGCTGTTGAGGTTCAATCCGTTGACAATTTAAGTTTAGTGATATATATTTATTAGGAAAACCTAACCGCATTTCCTCTCTTTAACTTAACTTTCACTTAACCCACCCGTCCTTAGGCCACCCGTCCTGTCACTCAGTCGTCACAATAAGTATTTAGGAAGCGATTGTAACAAAAACATGTGTTTTTTTAACTCTAGGCAAAGGAGCGAAAGCAATCGAGTCCTCTATGGTACGAGGCGTGGGCAAAATGAGAACGAACGAAGTGACCACCGCTGACGAGATCCTGGAGCGCGCGATGGAGTGCGACGAGAACAGGGCCGCGGCGGCCTCGACGCCCCAAACCGTCCAGGGAGTGGTGCCTTCGCCGCAGTTCGCGACCCTCACGCTCATCAACAAGATACAGGCGTCGCCCAAACTGGCGACGCCGCTGAGCGCGAGCAACTTGGCGGCGACGCCGTACGCCGGCCCGTCGGGCAGCGTGGCCAGCGTGAACCCGACCCCAGCGGTGCCGCCCAACATCGAGACGGGCTCGCTGGTGGTCCTGACCGTCAACGACCCGCTCTCCCCCTCGAAGAAGATGCTGCAGACGTACATCGCGCAGGGCGGCGGCCGCCTCACCCCCGTCGCCCTCCCCACGACCCTCCTCAACTCGGTCGTGGGCTACATGAAGAAGGGCACGCCCAAGGCGGCCTCGTCGAACTCCTCGCCGCGTTTCGCCTCCCCTAATAGTGCCTCAAGCCATGACAGCCGGACTAGTGCCCCCCCGAGTGTTATCCAAGTGAACCCGAACCCGGCTAAGAGGCAACGCCACAGCTCCTTCACTATCACGCAGCTTTAGCCAACGCCGCTGTTCGCTTCCCATCTGTCGTATCATACCTTTGTCCCGTACAATTTAGGTAATTGCAAAACAAATGCTTATCTTAGCTGTATCATTTCTTATTAAGGGAATTCGCTAAATTCTCTTATAATTAATTTTGTTTTGTAGTTATAGTGTCTGCACTTAAGATTAATGTAATGAAAATATGTACCACTATATATGTCCCGCTGCTGGGCAGAGGCCTCTGTACCTGAGTATTGTGTCATAGTACAGTTCAACCCCATTGCACACTGGCTGACTTCGTTCGTAATATTATTTTTATTATTAATTCGAAAATATGTAGGTTTATTCACGATGTTTTTCTTCACTGCTGAGCACGTGATGTCTGTGTCAGCACTTGAAATGATCTATTTTATTGGTGGTTTTTTTGTGTGACCGAACTTGAGCGTATATTTTTTTTTATGTGAGAAACCGTGGCTGCAACACCCGTAGAGTTGCAAACGCAATAAAATATTAGATTAAATTTGATAGTGTGGTGTTCATCCAAAGCATTGCACAATAATTAAACTATAACAACCACCCACTGTGTTTAGCTCCAACTCAAGAGATTTTAATTCAAAGAAATTACATGATCTTAGAGCCATGCCAGCTCAGTAGAGCCATGATAGCTCAGAAGAGCCGTGATAACTCAATAGAGCCGTGATAGCTCAAGTGTCCGGGCGCTCGCCTTTAATTCAATATACTCGAGCAAATTATTAATTTTAAGTGCCGAATTATGACGTGCTTAGCGATGAAGGAAAACATCGTGAGGAAACCTGCATATTTTCGAAGTAATAACAAAAAAAATATTTCGAAGATATGTGAAGTCAGCCAATCAGCAGTGGGGCCGCGTTGTGGACTATGCCCTGATACCCCCTGTACAGGGGAGGCCTTTGCCCAGCAGTGGGACATGTATACGCTGATACTTTATTTATAAAAGGTTGTTATTCCACTATTTAAAAGAGTGTCTTTGTGTATATTAAGACTCAGTCATAGTTTGAACAATTAAGAAATTTACGTAGCATTCGGTGGCGCCGTTGCTAAGGTATTGGCTTCGGCGTCGGGGATCGTAGGATGGGTTCCCCCCACACTGGACAGGTATTATTGTGACCCACAGACAAATGTTCCGGATCTGAGTATTTGTTTCCCAAGTATATAAATTAAAACAATATTCACATGTTGTAAGTTATTTTATTCACATGTCCTGACCTCACCTCAGCAGGTCCGGAGGATGATGATGAAGTAGCGCAGATTATGTATTCTCTAATACTTTTTCTATGGCTTAGAACAACGCTGTTGTATATAAATAGAATTATTTATAAATATAATTGAGGCTGGTCGTTTGTATCCTTCAACATAGTAAATAAATTCGCTATAGGTACATGGCATAAACTAGATTCAAAAATCTGTAGCTTTCCTGTGTTAGCTAATAACCAATTTCAATTGGAAATTATACCCTAAATCCTTTTGAATAAAATGTTCATTTTAAATACCTACTTCATAAAGCGGTAAACATAATATTATCCTGTTAATAAGTTGAATATAATTTGTAGTTTTAACTTGTAAACCACAGGCCTAAATTAATGTACTGTATAGTATGTCACTATGCAAATGGATTTCATGCAAATGTAATTATTTTAGCGAGTTAACATTCAAAGTATTCTTATAAGCGCTAGGATTTTAAAAAATTCTTCTTATGACAAAATAGTCAAAACATTAAAGCCTCCACAATTTTTAATTGTTTTTATTTACTACACAATTATGTATTATTACTACAGTAATATGTCGCCCCGTTGTACATTTGCGATAGATTATCAATTTTAAAAAGAACAGATGAAAGTATAAATAAACTTTAGACATCTGTGATAGTCCCTCATAGATTGTCATTTTGTATTATTTTTAGATATGGCATTTTGTTATTACCAGAAGTGTTAATAATTATAATGAATTATGTTGGTATAGCGTGCCTACATCTTAATTTTGTTTTAAATTAAAACTTTTTGAAATAAGGTACAATTTGATTTTTTTTTTATTACCCGACTGCGGCGAAGTCAAATCAGGGTGTGTGTTTGACGTAGCCGGTATGTATAATGCGTATTCATAATGTATTTACCTCGTTCTTATGTACCCCGTAACTACCAAAAGCATTTAACCGTACCTCAGACGGCTTATTTAGTTTTCTGAATATAGACTTATTATTATATTACAGCATAATATACATAATATGTATGATAATTAAATATGTATAATACTATATATACTCTATATGTAATCTAGTGATTAGGAAACTTATAAAAATTATCACGAGTATACAGCGTGTCGCGACAATAAATGAACACGCGTCTAACGCTACTTGCCAATAATCATAAAAAAATATTAACGTTAAACAAAATCCAACATTAAAAAAAAATATTTTTCAAAAAAACTAATTAAGTAAAAAACAAACAAAATTTGTAACACCTATACAACCCGCGCCACAGCGTCGCATTATAAGCCTCTCCTTCTAACAGTATGTTTTGTCTCTTTTAAATTCATTCAACCCATTCATATGCTTTGTGACCTTTACAAATGAACTTTACGTTACTGCTTTATACGTAAGGTGTTCTAAAATTCTTTGTTTTGGAAAATTTAATAAATCTCTAAATATTAATGTTTAAATAATGTAAATGTTTAATACAATTTTAAAAAGTTATCCCCTATATGTGTGTTCATTTATTGTTGCGATTATAAAGACACGCTGTATATCATACAAATTACAACAAAATTTTAATGTAAATAATTAAAATTATTTTTACGCATGGTTCGATAGCATTATTGAAATCGGTGATTTTATTTTAGCCGTGTCGACTAATTTCAATTAGCATATAATAATACGCACCATTTTAAAGTTGTTTTTCCTTTGATGTGTTTCTTAAAAATTATGAGAGTAAACGAACGTTGGAGCAAGTGCGTTTAGGAATGGAGATCCCGGCTAGGCAGGAGGAGTGTGGGCAGACCGCCAGTTCGATGGTCCGATAACAGAATACAGAAGTCCTAGTCTGGAGAAGGGAAACGAAGAGACGTGATAAATTGAAGAAAATTGGAGAGACGTATGTCCAGCGGTGAGCAAGCACACGCTGATGAAGAAGAGAGTTAACGAAATGAAGTTGGTTGCAGTGACAAAATGTAGGCCGTTTACCATGGCAACCAATAATAACTTTTGACATTTACCTATAATTCCAAGTTTTTTAATAAAATCCAATGATGTTTAATAATATCGAATTATGTGTACACATCATTTAATATACCGTTATCATTGAATTTAACGTCTTTCACACACAAAGAGTACTGACAGAGGGGACAAATGTTTAGTTATTATTCTTTTCGCTAAAGAAGTATAACTTCTTACGTGCGTACATAAGTAGACACTGACAAGTTAAGTAAAACTTCTTCAGGCGCGATTAAGGGGTACTTTAGGCGACAACAATGCACTGTAAACGTGTTACGGCGATGACGCATTTACATAACATCCTATTTTTAAATATATACACTTATCTATATCTGAAATATTCATCAATAATAAATTATTAAAATATGTAGAAAAAGTGCGAAAAGATTGTCGCCGCTGGGAGAATCGAACCCACGTCTTCGGCCTGACGCTCTAGCCACTGAGCTAAACGGGTGATTGCCACCCCGACGAAAATCTTAACGCATTCCTCTACATTGTTATTTTTAGCATTTGAAGCAATGTTTGGCGCATCTATTGTTATATTCTTTCCAGCATACAAACAATTTCGAATATCGTTTTACGACGATAACTTCGAACGTGAGATATCACCATTGCTTTTTAGAAATTTTTTTATCCGCACAGCGGCCACAATCTTTTCGTAGTTTTTCTACAAGTTTTAATATTTAATCATCTTTATCACGACAACTTTCAAATGAGCAAAAATCAACAAAATCTAAATGAGTGCAAACTTTAAGCGATCACCGCCTCCATGGACACTTGCAACATCGGTTGAGTTACAATTGCGTCGCCGGCCTGTATGGGTAGGAGTAGGCTTTTGGAGATATTGATCTTTTTCATTTTTAAATCCTTTTTTTTAGACTTTTATGACTTCATGCTGAATACCTACGAGTGCCAATAACACAATTTAAAAAGAAGTTCATAAACTCCACAAAACTGTAACAATGAACAACATTCAATAAAAAAAGAATACATATGCCTAGGGAGTCCAGGAGAGTGAATAAATAATTCATAAGTATGTTTCATACGGATGTAAATTTTCGATTACATACCGTTCAAAACTTTTGTTTAGGTATACGACCCGCAACGCACGTTCTATTCAACAACGTCATTCTCAATACATAATTGGTATTAAACTTATGTATGGGTTACCTCAACCACAAAAACATGGTATTGTCTTTGAGGTTGGGGTAATCGGATGATGATTTGGTGTAAACACTAAATGAGTTGTTAACACTATTTTTTCCTGTTAAATATCTTTAAAATACTCCATATACGTTCAAGACACTATTATAGTTTCGTTACGTTACGGAGACAGGAGTTTATTTAAATAAGGAATAAAAAATGCAAAGTGGGTTAGATAAAGAAAATGAATTTCTTACTTATTTTAGTGCTGATAGTAATTGCGACTGCAAAATTCGATAGAGCCAGTGCCGACATCTCTCATCCCAACTTCGCCGGAGAGTTAAACAACGAAGATCCCATTTCTCGCAACATACAATTCCTAAGCAACAATGAAATAACCAATAAAGCGAAAGAATTTGGTGAAATAGTCTATTTAAAGAGATTTAACATTGACCGTCGTATTATCAATGTCCCACCAATATGTCCGAAGGGCTATAAACGAACATTTCTCACGTGCATAAAAAAAGAAATATAACAATTAGTTGGAATTATGGTTCGGTGAGTATAATAGAATACTTTCTAGACTTTTCTTTTCTGCGAAACATTATTTCATCACAAATAAATTATGAGGAACTAACGTTAAGAAATAAGGAAAGTGACCAGAAATTTATTTTATTTAAACTGTAATAATATAGGGTTATGCTATACCGATTTTTGTTATTTCAGGTTTGTGCTTTCAGTCCGTAGACTAGCTTCATCGGTCAGAGCTCGTGAAAAGGATAAGTTCCCTCAAGCTTGATAGGCGGTATATAAGGAGAATCACAAGCGCCGCTATCAGCAGCAACGCAGTTTAGCCTAGGTTAACTTAGTTTATTAACTAAGTACCCATATTATTTTGAATTGATTAAATTGTAATCGAGCTGTAGCTATATATAATATGCTAAATATACATGTTCGGTTTTTTTTTTCTATACAATAAAAAGTCAAAAAAACACATAATGTATAGTTTTCATTAAAGTTTTGAGCATAGTGTTTTATCGCTTAAGTCATAACACCATTTTCATATTAACAAATTACAACAGCCCCGCGATCAATACGAAAAACGTTTTTCACGGCGCATAATATACAGATCATTGTAATGTTATCAAAATATTTGCTAAAACGGGTAGATATAGGTAGACGTTGCAAGACTCAAAAGTTGCAATCCGTAATTTTATGACAAATCTTGTCAAGTGCCTTGCAACAAAATAAGATGTGAACATTTTTGTGCTATGATTTTTTTACGATTTCAAACGTGGCTTAAAACTGGACGAGTCGTTTAATTGACTTCAAATGGGATTTATGGAAGATGGACCTTCAAAAGCAACAATCTACCGTTGGCATAGCGAATTCAAACACGATCATCTACTCTGGGGGATATAGTGAGATCACATAACAAGTCAATTCTACACTCCAACACCTATATTAAACGCCATCCTCGAGTTTCAGGCCCTCACAAGAGCGACGGGGAAGTCAACTTAATGACATGCAGAGAAATTCTGAGCATACAGGAGAAACAATGACAGTCTTCTTGAAACAAAACTAGAGAAAGCAGAGGCAGCCATCTACATCAACGCCACCTCAGACGTTTTAAAGGGAACTATCAGGCAGCAACAAGCGGGCTTCAATGAGTCTTTTGGCTTCGCCGAGCTGGACGAGGAAAGGACGGAACAAATGGGACACCCGAAGCTTAAAGCGAATAGTCGTTACCGCCAGATGCACCAAGGTTATGTATATCAACTCATCAGTCAAGAACTTTGTCACAGGGAGGGACGTTGTAATCACCAAAACAATAGAGGCACCGAAGGATCTTCGCGAGAAGCTTGCTAGTCTCGTCGGCGCCAATGCAAATACCAAAGTGCGCACAATGTCTTCGATATTGGTAAATGGGTTCAAAGAGCTAGACAAGAACACCTGTTCTCGGCTCATGGTCGACGAAGCCCTTATGAACCACTTTGGAGCCATTTTGATGGCAATGCGACTGAGCGAAGTTAAAGATATCCTGCTGATTGGTGACATCAACCAACTCCCAACTACATTGACAGGGAAAACCTCTTTTCAATGCAGTACACTCGCCCAAACCTAGTGGCGGCCAAAGAGCGAAAAGAGGCCCTTATCAACCAGGGGTATGGATCGGGCGATGGTTCGCGGGTTCTCACCATCCACGAAGCACAAGGACTAACATACGGGTCAGTCGTTTTCATGCGTACAAAAGTGAGCAAGTTACAGCTGCACGACAGCGTTCAGCCGTAGTGGCGGTATCCCAGCACACGGTCAGCTGTGTTTACTAGACAGACGACGGTGACGACGCAGCAGGCCGCCTTATCCAAAAAGTCATGGCGGCATCAACCTACAAGATAAGGGACTATTACCTTAAAATGGCAATTAAGTACAGAGAGAGGAGAGATTAGGCAGAGAGACTAGCTAAGAAATAAAACCTATTACCTATTAACCTGCGAGTGACGAGATCTCCGTCCATTCTCCCTATGACAAAAACTGAAAACTGTGCAGGACAAATTGTTTAGTTTGTAAGTTATCAAAATATATATAAATTAATTATTATATATATATAGCGTATCGTTACAACCGCAATATAATAACAATAATTATATTACACATTTACATTCTTTAAACATAAATATTTAAAAATTTATTAAATTTTGCAAAACAAACAATTTTAGAACACCTTACGTATAAAACTGTACTGATGATGCATGTCCATGCTACGCGGCTTTTAAAAATTGTTCCGCTTTTCATGGGAGTATAACATAAGTGAATGCGACAGATGATACAGAACCTATGATACGGAAAGGTAAAGCAGATATTTACAACTATTGCCGTAATTGTGTATAACATGTAAGATTAATAATAGATATCCCATATAGGTGTAAAAAGGACCAATTAATAGTTGATAATATCATAATATAACTATTTTGGGCCATGTTATAACAAATATTGTAAAATAGCCTTGTCCTGATTATTGTAAAATATGCTTTTTGACAAGTTTTAGCCAAAAGAAGTTTAACTTCAAAAATCATAATTATTTCATTTATATACGTAATTGCCTTATAAGTTTTGTAGTAAAGTAACGGTTAGATGAATTAAAATTCTGTCTTTGAAGTCTTGATTAGGTGAGCTGGCGGTTCACCTGATGTTAAGTGATAACCACATACATGGACACTTGCAACACCCGTAGGGTAGCAGATAGGTTGCCATCTTTTAGTAAAGTGGGCCTCGGCTACCTCGAAGGAACGGACTGGACTCTCCAGACGAAAAGCAGAAGTATCATTCTTTCGCTTCACGCTGGTCTTCTATTAGGTCGTAGTACTTCCCCGGATGGCCCTGCCCATTCATGCAACAGCGAGGATTGTTGCATGGCCCTACCACAGAAACGAAACTTAACGTAATAGAAATTTAAAACATTTTCTTATATACTTCTACTGTTCAAGCCTCAAATTGAGGGGCTGAATTGTCGAGGCTGAGTTAATAGAGGTCGCGGAGATGCAGTGGAATGGCTGAGGCCATCGTGACTTATATCAACTATGTTGTTATCTTACATCCGCGGCTAACAGCATATCTGCCTTGACTTTTCTGGCAAAGCTGTCAAAGCCGAACTAAGAAGTAAATAGCACTACAAAAAAAGCATTGTTTAAAAAGCTATTTGGCTGTAAGGCCACTTGTTACAGTTATGTTATGACTTATGTCATTTTAGTAAATGTCATCATTCCCATTACAAGTTTATTGTACTTAATTAATTTATGTAATGAACCAAACGTAGTTCATTATATTATTGAATTGTCTTTTAGTAGTTATGGGTACAGCAACAAATGACCATGATACTGATAGTAAAGTACCAAGGAAAACCAAAAGTTCTTTCCAAATTCGTAATCTTCGACTATGTCTTAAGTATAGGCCTGAAATTTTTAAATTCATTTTAAAAATGCAAAATGTTATCAAAAGAAAGAATGCTATTTTGAAAAGACTGAAAAAACAGCTAAAATTAATGGTAATGTTTTTACTGCAGGAAATTTTTATTTTTAATTTTTAGACAGTTTCTAAGTATACACCTTTGATGTTTACATTGACAATTGATATATAATATTTTTTTACATTTTTGTTACAGTTTTTAAAACTTGTTCTGGTAATCAAGTAAGAATTAATGTAGTTATTTTAATTTAACCCAACATATTCTTATTCCAGACTAACAATGAAATAAATGACACAAAAACTGCATCTCAAATTGATTCAGGTAATATAAAATTGAATTGACCTATCTTCTATTGCTATACTTTATAAATATATATATAATAAACTTTATTACTGATTTGATCAATAATTTCAACTTCAAAATATAATTATTTCTATAAGTGTCCAAGCCATGGGATTTGCGTACCTGATAATATTTCCAATCTTATTATATACTTGTTATTGTTACAATAATATGGGCAAGATCAATGTCTCAATATCTTAACATGGAATATGAGGCTGATTGATGGTCGCTTCTGGAGATAGTTGAACTATCTAGAAAAGAAAGAAAATGAAAATAGATTTTAAAAAGTTTTTTGGTGGTGTACATATGAGGTAATAATTATAGTGTTTACCATAAAAGCTTGCATTGCAAGAAGTTCCAGACCAGTTTCATATTTGTTAAACACCCCATGACATGCTAGTAAATGAATCAAAACTTCAAAATCACAGGCTTACATGCCTACTGGTTTTTTTTTATGGAGGACAATGGTAATGCTATTTTTGGGTTTCCAGATACCAAGAAAAAACTTGTAAATGATGCATCAACACAAACTGAAAATGTTGCAGTTGATGTTGAAGTCTTGGAGGAGCCTAAAGATGCAAAAAATACAGTTGACACTAAGACTTCAGAATGGAATGTAAATAAAGATGTTGAAGACAAAAGTATAGAAGAACAGGTTAAGGAAGTTGCACAGTCAGCGTTACAAGAAAGCGGAATGGTATATGTAGAATCTGCTGGAATGTACTATGACTACAAGACAGGGTATTATTATAATTCTGTGAGTCTTTTTTTTAATCGAAAATATTATTATTTTTGATCTTGTAAATTTAAATACCTACATTGGTTTTCAGGAACTTGGATTATACTATCACACGGATACTGGTTGCTACTACTATTATTCAGAAGAAAAACAAAACTTTGTTTTTCATTCATATCCCGATAGGAGTATTTTGGCTGCAAATGCTCCACTTATAATGCATGCTATGAAGAAAGCCAAAAAGCATAAAAAGGTACCTACTCTATATTCTGTTATTTTTTATCTGCATAATATAAATAATATAAAAGAATTAAATTTTTATTCAATATTCATAAGCAACTTTTTATATTTCAGGCAATACAATTAGATGTTGAAAACCTGACGAAAAATTTCTCTCAGGTTTCCCTACAAGGCCGAGCTGCCTTAGGTAAATAAATTGATAAGAAGTTTTTTCCCAATACCAACATGTTAAATATTATCTTACAGGAAAAAGAAGAGGATGCTAATGAAGAATCTAGCAAACCAAAACGAAAAAAGGTAAATAAGGAAGAAATGAAATCTTGTAAAAAAAAGGAATGTAATAAAGTGAAGAAAATTCATAAAGAAACTAAGTCAGAAGAAAAGACTGCAACTGAAGCTGAGAATATTGAATCTGAACCAAAGGACTGCAAAGTTCTCTACGAAAACGAAGAGCCGACAGAGATTGAAAATCCAAAAGAAGGATCGAAGAAAGAAGATTTTAAAACAGAAGAAGATAATGGTCTTGAAGACGGTGAATGTAGTGAAACTGAGAGTGAAGAAGAAACCCAAGAAGATGATGTTGAAGACATAATATCAATTAATAGCATGTCAACTGTAACTGATGATGACGATGGTAAATAAATATAGAAAATGAAATAGCAATACATCCAAATAATCAAAATATACCATACACATACTATTAACTAAACAATAGCAAAACGTCTCTATTGTATATTTTAATGATAATTGACATACCATAACCTAATTGACATAACCTACTACTTTCAAATTTAAATTTGAAAGTAGTAGGTTATGATGTATTGGATTTTTAATCCAGACATATGAATATTTTTAACTCTAAACAATGATTATGACATTGACTGACACTTGACCATCAGATTAGTCTACTTCTGTTAATATTTGAGATGGCTAACATTTCTTATATTTATTAATTTTTTTTTTTCAGATTCTGTGGCAAAGCAACATCCGCCGTGCATGCGCCTGATAGTTCGCGAAACGAATGTGACCAAGCTGAAGGTTGGAAGCCTGTTCCTCATCACCAAAGATGGCGGCACTATAGGCAGAGAAGGGGAGCAACACGCAATTATCATTACAGATAGCAATGTTTCGAGGGTAAGATGGTCAAGGTCAAGTTAACTTAATATATGTAGACCGTGAAAGCTCAGTGTCCGGGCGCCTCGTAATTTTAAGTAATTATCCCACGTGCTCAACGGTGAAGGAAAACATCATGAGGAAACCTGCATATTTTCGAATTAATAACAAAAAAATATTTTGAATATATGTGAAGTCTGCCAATCCGCAGTGGAGTCGCGTGGTGGACTATGGCCTGATGCCCTCTTTACACACGAGGCCTTTGCCCAACAATGGGACATTTACAGGCTTTTTCTTTACTTACTTTAAGTAGTCTTACCGGTCTTAATTCTTAAACCGGGTGTTTCTGAAACACTGATCGTTGTAGACGTTAACTAATCAGCTGTCAAATGGCAACCGTAACCATCCTTTTGGCAACTCAAATGACATTTGAAAATCCATTTGACAGCTGATTAGTTAACTTCCACCTTCAGAAACCGGGCGTTAGTATAGTAAAGACAAAGAAAACTGTCTTTTAAAAATATTTGAACAGCTTAGTGTTTATTTACCCGACCTACCGGTGATCTGTTTGTAGAGAAAAAAGTTACATTCCTGTTAATAACACTCATAACATTTACAGAATCACTTAGACATCAAATACAACTTGGAACGGAATATGTACTATGCAACTGACTTGGGCTCTAAAAATGGTACTATATTAAATGGAATCAGAATGTCGGACAGTCAAGACACAAGTTTTCCTATGGAGGTAAGATATTTGAAAATAGCAAATTAAACATGTAAAAAAAAGTATTTAGCAATTTACATTTATATAAGTTGGTAGGTATATCACACTACATTATAAGTTGGGAGGATGCATACAATCCATACAAGTTACGAAATTGGCGTTTATTTTTTTTTTTAGACAATCCTGTTTACTCAATAAATTTACTTAGTAATTCCTATTTGTATAATATCAAATTATATCACCATGTCAAGTTTTGAGCTACCCAGTAGACTAACATTTAATAGCAACAATGCAAATAACATAAAGATTTACACGATGATGCTATATGTATACAAGAATTGTTCCTTTAAAGTTTTTAAGTTATAACATTAAGATGACTCCGTGGCGCAGTCGTCAAGGTGTCGGGGGTCGTGGGTTCGATTCCCACACGGTTCAACTATTTGTGTCACCCACAGATAGTTTTCGCATCTGGGTGTTTGTCAGCGTGAAATTTATGTTTCTAAAATGTCCTTACAACACAGGATAATGTTATCCTAAAGTAAGGCAATGTTTTTTTTTTTTAATCAAACATACGTGCTTTCGTAACGCGAAGAACCTTGTAAAAGTAAATATCTTAAAGTTCACTCGCGTTATTTCGGTTATAGTAAATGTTAGTTATAGTGAATTATAACATGTTCTCAGGTTGTTCACGGGAGTGTAATAGAGTTGGGCGAGACAAAACTGCTGTGTCATATTCACCCCGGGAACGACACGTGCGGACATTGTGAGCCGGGACTTATCATGGAATGTAAGTTGTATCAAAAAATTTTGAGCCGCTTTTGCCGCCTCCCGTTCCCAGAACGACGTCATCCGTAGGGCTCTTGTTTCCGTCAATGTTCCTTCAATACCAGAACCTCTTTAGCTTCTTATTGGCCTATTAACAAGTTTAAGAAATGTATTAACGAAAATCTTTATAAAATATATATGAATGGGGGTTATTCATTTATATAATAATATAAATGAATACGTTAATGAGGGATGTAGCCGGCGTCGAATTTTTAAAAGTTGTCAATGCACTTGCAAGATTTCAGGTGTTGTAGATATCCATGGGCGGCGGTCTTCATTTACCATCAGGTGGAAGCACCTGTTTGTTTGACAATTTTTCACATAAAAAAAATAACTCGACCAATCGTTGGGACAAGGTGAAGAAACAAGAGTGTAGTAGTATGACTACATAGTATAAAACAAAGTCGTCCCGCTGTGTCTGTCCCTATGTATGCTTAGATAAAACTACGCAACGGTTCTTGATGCGGCTTTTTTTACTAGATAGAGTGATTCACGGGAAAGGTATATATGTATAATACATTGTACCGGTGCGAAGCCGAAGCGGCTCACTAGTAAATAATGAAATCAGTTAGTTATACAGTTTATCACTTGACCATCTTTTTCGTGTGGAAAGCACGATATATATGGCTATCGAAAGATCGTACGTATCGTGTGTTATTCACTTTAAGCTACGTTCAACCGAACATCGACCTTACAGCGGAGGACAAAGAGCGGAAGGTCGCGTACACGCGCACGTGCAGCGTCCAGAAACAGCACCGGCTCGAGTTGGCCCGCCTGAAGAATCTGTACGCGACGAGGCCGCCCGCGATAGAGGCGGAGGCGTACAACGACAGGGCGCACGCGCGGCGGCAAACGGTCGGCTCGTCCCACCACGCGGAGAAGACACAGAGCAGCGATATTGACACGTGAGTGTTACACTGTGGCGCCTCCACGGCGCTGCCGATCGCCTCGGTGATTTGTACCGCTAACGGTGTATAGGCGACAGCGCGAGCATAGTGTAGCAATAGGCAGAAGTAAGATGGCCGTTTAACTTAAGTCAAAAGGCTCGCGCTCCGCCATCTTGCGATAATTAACTACTACGGTCGGCTCGTCCCACCACGCGGAGAAGACACAGAGCAGCGATATTGACACGTGAGTGTTACACTGTGGCGCCTCCACGGCGCTGCCGATAGCCTCGGTGATTTGTACCGCTAACGGTGTATAGGCGACAGCGCGAGCATAGTGTAGCAATAGGCAGAAGTAAGATGGCCGTTTAACTTAAGTCAAAAAGCTCGCGCTCCGCCATCTTGCGATAATTAACTAATACGGTCGGCTCGTCCCACCACGCGGAGAAGACACAGAGCAGCGATATTGACACGTGAGTGTTACACTGTGGCACCTCCACGGTGCTGCCGATCGCCTCGGTGATTTGTACCGCTAACGGTGTATAGGCGACAGCGCGAGCATAGTGTAGCAATAGGCAGAAGTAAGATGGCCGTTTAACTTAAGTCAAAAAGCTCGCGCTCCGCCATCTTGCGATAATTAACTAATACGGTCGGCTCGTCCCACCACGCGGAGAAGACACAGAGCAGCGATATTGACACGTGAGTGTTACACTGTGGGGATACACTGTGGTGCCTACACGGCGCTGCCGATCGCCTCGGTGATTTGTACCGCTAACGGTGTATAGGCGACAGCGCGAGCATAGTGTAGCAATAGGCAGAAGTAAGATGGCCGTTTAACTTAAGTCAAAAAGCTCGCGCTCCGCCATCTTGCGATAATTAACTAATACGGTCGGCTCGTCCCACCACGCGGAGAAGACACAGAGCAGCGATATTGACACGTGAGTGTTACACTGTGGGGATACACTGTGGCGCCTACACGGCGCTGCCGATCGCCTCGGTGATTTGTACCGCTAACGGTGTATAGGCGACAGCGCGAGCATAGTGTAGCAATAGGCAGAAGTAAGATGGCCGTTTAACTTAAGTCAAAAAGCTCGCGCTCCGCCATCTTGCGATAATTAACTAATACGGTTGGCTCGTCGCACCACGCGGAGAAGACAGAGCAGCGATATTGACACGTGAGTGTTTACACTGTGGCACCTCCACGGTGCTGCCGATAGCCTCGGTGATTTGTACCGCTAACGGTGTATAGGCGACAGCGCGAGCATAGTGTAGCAATAGGCAGAAGTAAGATGGCCGTTTAACTTAAGTCAAAAAGCTCGCGCTCCGCCATCTTGCGATAATTAACTAATACGGTTGGCTCGTCGCACCACGCGGAGAAGACAGAGCAGCGATATTGACACGTGAGTGTTACACTGTGGCACCTCCACGGTGCTGCCGATAGCCTCGGTGATTTGTACCGCTAACGGTGTATAGGCGACAGCGCGAGCATAGTGTAGCAATAGGCAGAAGTAAGATGGCCGTTTAACTTAAGTCAAAAAGCTCGCGCTCCGCCATCTTGCGATAATTAACTAATACGGTTGGCTCGTCGCACCACGCGGAGAAGACAGAGCAGCGATATTGACACGTGAGTGTTACACTGTAGCACCTCCACGGTGCTGCCGATGGCGTCGGTGATTTGTACCGCTAATGGTGTATAGGCGACAGCGCGAGCATAGTGTAGCAATACGTAGAAGCAAGATGGCCGTTTAACTTAAGTCTAAAGGCTCGCGCTCCGCCATCTTGCGATAATTAACTGATACGTTCGTCAATTTGATGCAGCGCTCTAGCGGTCGAGTTAACTTGCAAACGCGCTCACACTTCATTCGAGTTTACTCCGAAGCCAACTCCATATATATTATACGGCCAACCGTATCCTTGGAAAAAGAGACTTAGAAGTCACTTTCGACTCCAGAATGAAATTCGCCACGCACATTAAAAATCAGTAAACTACTCCCGCAATAAAGTGCCCTAAGGCACAAACATTTCTTTTACAAGGCTAGCCTATGAGCCATAAGATCGTGCGATTTTATCTCCCTTGCTCTAGCTTGCATAAGCTTCAGGTAATTCAAATGATTTCATCCACCTCGCAACCAGTGTTAAGTGATATCAGCGTAACGACTAAATAGCCGAATACCTTATTCCAACCTTCTGGTGGTAATCGCATATACAGCGTGTCGTTACCTTCTAACAGTATGTTTTGTCTCTTTTAAATTCATTCAACCCATGTGCACATATGCTTTGTGACCTTTACAAATGAACTTTACATTACAGTTTTATGCGTAAGGGTGTTCTAAAATTGTTTGTTTTGGAAAATTTAATAACTCTGTAAATATTGATGCTTAAAGAATGTATATTTTTGATACAATTTAAAAAATTTATCCTCTATATGTGTGTTCATTTATTGTCACGTTAGTAACGACACGCTGTATATACTAGTATATAATAATAATATAAAGTTTATTTGCATAAAATATGATATAGAGCTGTTACAGACATAGGTATAGCACAGCATGTCTTCCCGCGACAATATGAAGCATGCAAATGTAAAAAATAAAAATAATTAAAAACTTTTAATACTTAAGATTTCTTGGACGTCATTAACATTGTAGAAACTATTCTCGATTAACCAATTATAAAATTTTATTTTAAATACCCTACTATATAACATTTTAAGTTCCTAAGGTATCTTGTTGTTATATGTATATCTGCAAACACAAGAGAAAGCTTCTACTATATTTTCTCAAATTCGGATTCACTTAGTACAAATCTGTTTGGATCCCGCCGGTTCTGAATATGTACATCATCCACTGTGTTAAAAAAAATTCTGTGCTTCCAAATAATATACTTATATACATAACCTAATCTTTATATATAACCTAGTTAGGTGAGGACGAGTACATATTATTTCAACTTTTTTAATTTGATTTTAAAATAGACCGCTTCGATTATTTTTTCTAAAAAATAATTCATAGTGTATTGAAATAAGATCCTTGGCAAGTGTTGTGTTGGGACATATGCCCAGAACCATATGTAATCTTAAACGTTATTTAAAAACAACTTTATGTGCAAACAATAAGTTATGTAAATTTTATCGCAATAAACGTAATAACTGAAAGGAGCAAGGAGTAAAGGAGCAAAGGAGTGTCGTGTACTTGATAAATTATTCATTTAATTTTTTAATTGTATTGAAATCAGGTCAGATACCGAAATTAACATTTTAATATTATCATTTCCATTGTCCATTGATTCAAGGCACGGTTAGCTGCTAATTGTATGCTAAAACCTTGTTATTACGACATCTAATACCAGACCGGTATTCTTGGTGGTGTCTCTTGACAACATTTTGCCATGGGCTTGCAATAGGGAGGCTCTTCGATTCCATGGAGTGCCTACCTGAGTGGCACTATCCAGGCCTACTTTCGCGACGTTGTCTTGACTACCCCTGATGAAATAGACACCGGATCAGTCAGATGACGTGGGGGGTGCCACAGGGTCAGAGTTAGGACCAATACTGTTGAGCATAGGACGCTATTAGGTGCTTCGTGTGGCCTACCACAAGGGCCTCGAAAATCCTGACATAAGATTAAGAAAGTAAAATTAGATTAGATTAGTAGATTAGATTTTCAAAGAATCTTTGCCAAAAAATTACGTACAAAGAAACTAATCTGCGCGTAAGCTAATGTTCTTATCATGGCCATGGACGAGATTTGGATCCACCATTTTATTCCACTCACCAAAAAGCCATAGATGACCTCGAATCAAATTTCATCACGCGTGCCGAAGAAATTAAAAGTGTCGAATGTAGAAGCTTATGGGATCAGTTTGAGGGACTCTGCAGAGATCTTTATAGAGAAATATTTGGAAAAGGGAACCACTATATCAGACTTACTACGCAGACGAAAAAGAAAATACGGGAGGCTATTAATTAAAAACGACGTGGCAAACTGCGAGCTAGACTGCTGTTTTATAAACATACGAAGCACCAGTTCACAAGGCGGCTGCTGTAAAAGAGTAACAAACATCCATCTATACATACAAATTTTTGCCTTTATAATATTATTAAGGCTATTCGAACTGCTTGCTCCCGATATCTAGCTCCCAGAGACGGGAACTTCTCCCAGGGACTTCTAAGGGAGACCCCCTTTCTGAGAAATTATGGGATAAGAAATTTGAAGATGATCGCAACGTGATGGCCGCTGTTGAGGCGTCTAGGGAGTGCGAAGATAAATCATTTTTTTAACTAATGGACTAAATGTAATTTTAAATTCTTAGTAGTTTATGTAAAAAAAAAAATTTTTACTTTAATCTCCTTGGTTTATGTTCATTATCCATACTTCCGAATCACCACTCGTATTTTGAAAAAGAAAAACACGCAGGTGAAGCCGCGAAAAAAGATAGACATAAAAATAATTATTCAGACATAATGTAGACGCCGACCTGCAAGGGTTGCGTGTTAAGAAATTGTTCTCGGAAATTATTAATTGCTATTCGTAATTCAAACACGTCCGCGACAAGGGGAAAAAGTCACGATAATTAGCACTCATCATAATTTAACGAACCCGTTTCATTTTAAGGCGGTTAGTGGGAGTAGTTACTTCGATTGCTTTTATAATCGCTTCAAGTGAAATTGTACCGAAAGAGGTGCCTGAAGATATCCTACCGTTGCTACAGACTTTACGACGCTCCGTTTAAAGAGCTTCGAAACGCTACTTTAAAGTCGCTTTTCAGGTTTTAGAATCCTTACTGCTTATTGCTTTTTATTACGTATATTATTATTTGTTAAATGTAATTTTAATTTAGACCTTTACTACAAATTTACATGTTGTAATACCATAGTTCAAAATCTACATATTGCAGGGACCAATTAAATGTTTGCAATTTTCCATGTTGATTTGCCATGATTTACCAGCGCTAGAATCGTAACCTTAATAATTATTAAATATTTCTGAATTCATTACATCCAGCCGTAATAGCTCAATGGCTTATAATTTAATATAGTCGAGCAACCTTAGTTCAAATCCCGTTGCCGGCACCGATGAAATTGTTAGTTGCAATTTTAAGTGCTGAGTCCACATCAGGTGCTCAACATCGTTAGGAAACCTGCATACTTTCGAAATAATATTAGAAAAATATTTCGAAGATACCTATGAAGTCTGCCCTTTCATATAACGGTCATGTGCCTTGATACTCTTTGTATAGAGGAGGCTTTTGCGCATCAGGGAGACATATGAAACGTGTAAAGCATTTTTTAGTACTTTAGTTACTATATTGGCTCTATATTTTTAACTGTGGTATGGCCAACACCATCGCAATTGTCCGCTGTTGCACGAATGGGCAGGTCCGTCCGAGGGAGTACAACAAACTCACAGAAGTCCGGCATGAAGTGAAATTGTTATACTTCTGCGTTACGTCTGGTGAGTGAGGTCACCTGGGCCCACTTTATTAAAAGGTGGCAACGCATCTGCATCCCTACGGGTGTTGCAAATGTCCATGTGCGGCGGATAATACTTAACATCAGGTGAACCGCCTGCTCGCTTGTCACCTTTTTGTATTAAAAAAAACATATGAACTGAAGCGCCCTCATTGTCCACCAGGTTCATAGCATCGGAGAACAAAGGATTCAAACTACTGGAGAAGATGGGCTGGTCGAAGGGCGAAGGTCTTGGGAAGGACAGCCAAGGTGACAAGGAGCCGGTGAGTATACATCAGCCTAATACGTTTCATGGCAGCGGCACGGGCCGAAATCGTTTATCATCCGAAACGGCGAAGGGAAAACCACACAATGAGTTATATCTCCATTTGAATTTTGACGTGAATAATTAGCCAGTCCAGACGGTTCATGTATCCCGAGCTCGCCGTGAAATCGCAAAACTCTAAAAAAAAACGCAACGTTTTCAAAAACAAAAAGGGTTCCGTAAACGTTTACTCCATTTCGCAACGTTATCGCATCGAATTCGACCCTACTAAGTTAGCTAATGTTTAAGGGAGCTATTTCAGTCCTAAACGTCTTAGCATTCAATGTTCAGGGAGATACTCTTCTTTCTCATATCATGCGATAGTGGAAATTTACCGCATAACATATATAAACAATTTATCCTTAATCTAGACCTATTAGAATAGACCTAGAATTATTTACCCCGATTTATTTCACAAAAAAAGTCATTCGTAGTTTTAGTTATGTATATTCGAAAAACGAGCGAAAATACGCTTTAACTGTAAAAAAGTTTAAGTTTAGTTTCTTCAATAATAAAGATGTTTCATCGAAATTGGCAAAGGTTGCAATAAAATAAGGCCGGCCTTTATTGCGCCCGCATTAGCCGCGTTACCCCAAGTGGGGTTGTTTTTTACCATTTTCCCGTGATGAGTGGCCGTCTGTCTGTAGGTCAGCCGGCCGTGGGCCTGCCTGCCCATTTAAAACAATTTTGCTCGTTTTGTTCCCGCGTCGCACCATTAGCCCGTCCCGACAAGGTGACGTTTAGGCTGCTCGCACACTAGGCGCGATTGCCTAATGTCGTTACCAGGTTCGGGTCTCAACGAATCACTAAAAGAATTTTTTTAATCTACTAACGAAAGTTGTCAGTAACAATTTAAGTACAAATTTACCGGGTTAATTGTAAGGAACTTAGCCCAGTTTTCTGTGAAGTTTGCCACGTTTTATTTATAAATAGCTGACCTGGCAAACGTTTTTTTGCCATATAAATTATTTTTAGGGAATTTGTGAATCTGAACACACAGAAAAATAATTTTCGGAACGCACCATAAAATGTTTGACAGGTAGGAACAGTTTGTATGGGAAAATAAGTATTTGCTATTTCGATTTTCCATGCATTTTTTCCATAATTTGTCATCGTTTAAACCTTCCCTGGACTGCCGACAAACAGTCAAAACCAAAATTAACCAAATCGGTCCATCCGTTCTCGAGTTTTAGCGAGACTAACGAACAGCAATAAATTTTTTTTTTATTTTTTTTATTATATTATATTTTTATGGTGAAATCTTTATTGATCCAATATTTACAAGATGTTATCTATTTTATATGTAATTCATTTTTATATATATAGATAAAAGATAGATTAGGGTTAGCTGTTCGAAACCGCAGCGGGTCGCTAGTAACAAATATACACGTAAATTATTTTGAGGTTTTGTGACCTAACCAAACCGCACATCGGTCGCGAGTCAAAGCATGGCCTAACATTTATAGGCTAAAACGTCAATATTAAAGTGACTATAATTTTCGCTTCGGTTAAGAGCATGATTTAAACTTTTATATACATTTGAATTTTTCACAAACCAGCGAAAGTGAATTTAAAAAAAGATCTCGTGGTAATAACTCATTTGGCTAACTGTGGCCGAAAGGTTAAGATGTAGGTACCTTAAGTTAAACGTGCATCCGGTAGCAGTAACAAGTATTACTGTTTTTTCTCAATTGTCGGGCTAACGGGCTATTACAATGTTGCTGGCGCCACTCAATGACGGTCGCACGCGTTAATTGGTGCGAGCATTTTGAACGGCTTTACCAGTCAACAGAAATTGTGTATGAAGCGAACTGCAACGTACAACAACTAGATATTATCAACATTTCTGTATTATTCTTTACACAAGTTCATAATTATAACTATATTTCTGTGGCATCACTCCAATCGTTAAGTGACAAAATGACGTTTAACAGTGTGGCAGGGCCACGCCACAGTCTTCGCTCTTGCACGAATGGGCAGTTCCGCCCGGAGAAGTACCAAACCTCACAGAAGACCAGAGTGTAGTAGCAGTGTTATACTTCTGCGTTTCGTCTGGCGAGTGATGTGAAAGGTGGCAACGCATCCGGCTGTTGAAAATGTCCATGGGCGGTTGTTATCACTTAACATTAGTTGTCCCATCAGCTGGCCTGCCACCTTTTCACATGTTAATAAAAAACAGCCTTACAGTGTTTTTCGTAGTACGCAAGTTTGATGCATTGTGACAAATGCTTTGCACAAGTATCTATCATCTAAAAAACCGATTCTTACCAGAAACGGCGGAAAGACTATTGAAGGCTTATGATAAAAATAACACCAAAGCTAAAAGTGGACATGATTGTACCTTTGAGGCTTACTACTTATTTGTAACTCTTTTGAGTTACGAATTTCCATGCTAGGAGATAATGGCATATGTGCCTGAGCCTCTTATTCGTTTACCTTATCCATATTTTAAGAAAACCAGTCCCTTCCTGGACTGAGCAGAAGCACATCGCAATAAATGCAGCTTTGCTTGCGCCCTTTCTAGTCTGTCAGTCACATTTTCGCCGTATGTATAACATGGATAAAATATCAAAGGGAACATCAGCCTGACCATCACTCATTTCGATAAGGAGGCCCGTAATGAGGCTATGAGCATTCGCGAATAAACTTGGCGTAGCTCAAGATAATATCGCGTGCCACGTCTTGCTCTCGAGAGCTGTCCTTGGTTGCTTCAAAAGGAACTACGAAACTGCCTTTAATCGTCTTCTCCGATCAACAAGCTTGTTTTGATATAGTTTGTTTTGATTACAAACCATGCATATCGGACTAGTGCATCACACGCAGGAAGTATAAATGTACAACTACTTTTTATTTATGTGAAAAGTTGCGAAGGAGCTGGCGGTTCACCTGATGTTAAGTGAATACCGCCGCCCATGGACATCTGCTATACCCGAGGGTTACAGAATCGTTGCCAACTTTTTGAAGATTGGGCTCCGGCTACCTCACTCACCAGACGAAACGCGAAAGTATTTGTTAGACTTCCACTTTACGCCGGTCTTCTGTGAGTTCGTGGTACTTACCCGGACGAGCCTGCCCGTTCGTGCAACAGCCGAGGCTGCTGCGTGGCTCTGCCAACTTGTTTTATCTACGGCAGATTTGCCTATCACTACATAGTATAAAACAATGTGGTCCCTGCTGTTGCTATCTTTAAAAATACGCAACGGATCTTGATGCGTTTTTTTTTTAATAGATAGGATGATTAAAGAGGAAGGTTCATATGTATAATACATTGCACACGTGCCAAGCCGGGGTGGATCGCTAGTTTACTATAAAGTTTATGAAATATCGAGATGCCTATTTTTTGTAATAATAATATTTTATGTAATAATATACACTGAGCAACAAAAACAAAAACTTCAAACTTGTGACACCAAAAAAACATGGCGCAGTTTATAAAAATATACTTATATTATGATTACTTTTCTATTCCATCCGCGAGCACCGAATGATACCCTTTCTTCAATAACGGAGTGGGAAGAAGAATTCTTCTTCCTTATAGAAAAATGTGTATGTTTGATCTGCCGATATAAAAGAGACATCATAAAAACATACATAACAGATGTGAAGGTAGTTTCCCGCTTAAAAGTGATTTACGAAAACTTAAACTGAAAGACATGATGCGTTGTTGGGAAGGAAAACAAGCCGTCGCCATAAAGCCATCGGATAAGTGGCCATCGCCATAAGTGGCTACTATTACATCATACAAAATATGCCTCAGTCTAGCTATAAGCAAGAAGCCTTTCGAAGACGTAATGCTTATAAAAGAATGCTTGCTGAAGCAATTCGGTCTCTTTTCAGAAATTTCAAAAATAACCCTGAAATATTGTCAGCCATCACAAACGTTTAACGATTCTGGCAAACTGTGACTAGAGGCGTTGAAGCCATTCTGATGGCTTGAACAGGAAAATCAAACCATGAAGGATCTCTGAGACTGTAACTACTTTTTTAAACTTTCAACACTTTATAATAGACGTGGTGCAACTTTGCATTATCATACGCATTGTTTTTCCAGATATTACCATCAAGGGAGAATTTTTAACAATAATTCCGTTGGAAGAATATACTCGAGAAGTAGATCTAGAAGTAGACTACTATATAAATTTGTGTGCATAACCACACATGAAGCTCAGGCCATGACATTTGGCTATTTGGCTTTCCTGTAAGGCTTTATTTCCAGCTTCGCAAAGTCGGGTTAGAGCTCACGTTGTCGTGGTGACTCTCTTGATTTCGGATATGAACAGCCGTTAGATGTCGTCTTAGTAAAGTGCTCACGACGAATTAAAGTCTTCTCATTTAGTCGTGTATCTTATACCCGCTATCAAAATCCATCCCTAACTTTAAGGGACACCTAAAAATATTTAAGTGCTAGTTTCGTTTTCACCACCGCTTAACCGTCACCTAAAGTCTTAATCGTCATTAGTTTAAGATAGTTAAGATTAGTAATACGACATTACCTTTAGATATAATTAAACAAACCTGATTCGAACTTTCCTTCCAGGCTTCTAGCTTGCAAGGATTTCAGTCATCAATTTCAATATGCATTTATTAAAATATCAATGTAGTAGTTAATATTCATAGTTATCGATACTCAACCGCGGTATTAATTTGAGGTCGCCGCACAGCGTTAGGTTACCTAGCAGCTGTTGCGATTGAAATTTCAATCTAGCCAACGAGACAATATTATTATTTACGCAGCTAATGAACATTAAGACGCCAAGTAACCGCACAATTTGATACTAATACAACCGCAACTACATTGACCCGGTCACTTATTATTGGGTCACGTTGATTAAGTTGACTTAACACATTTAAGCCCTCGCCTAGCGCTAAAATCGATAACCTCAATAACTACGCATATTTTAGAATACATTAGAACTTCGAAAACCCATTCAGGCATTAACAGTAACTGCTGTGCGTGGA